CTACGGCAAAATTCTTTCCCTCAGTGTTCGAAAGTAGTGAATTTCTTTCCCATGTGCTACTACAGGAGTGATTTCCTTTTTCCTTCGAAAGTGCCTTAGCAGTGTGAAGTGGTGATTTTTGTGTGTGTGCGCAATACAAAATGAACGCATCATTTTTTTTTTCTCAAATAGGGTTTCTTTTCAAATGCATTTCGGTAAAATATTATTTGTGTGTGTAATTGCTGACCCTGTCTTATTTGTGTGTGTATCGTTACGTAAATTTTTTCTGCATGGTTAAAATATTTATTGTTATCATGGTAAAATATCAATAGTGTATCCTCATGCTACAATATTTGTGCTGATAAGTGTTTATTAATTAAAGTGAAAATTATCTATCAGTATGCCCGACGATATTCCACCAGAGCCACAAATCACACGCGTTGCGGTGAAGCCACCGCCTTTCTGGAAAATAATCCTTCATTGTGGTTCGCTCAGATCGAAGCACAATTTTCTATCGCTCGCATTAGTGAGGATTCTACAAAATTCAACCACGTAGTTGCAGCAATTGAGTCTGATATTCTGAATTCAGTGCATGACTTAATTCTCAAACCACCTGATTGTGATAAATACTCCAAACTGAAACAGCGGCTCATTGAAATCTATTCAGAAAGTGAATCTTCAAAAATACGTACTTTACTACAAGGACTTGAACTTGGAGATCAGCGACCTTCATACTTGCTGTCACGAATGCGTGATCTGGCAGGAAGCCATTTTAGTGACGACTTGTTGAAGTCACTATGGCTTTCGCGTCTCCCTAATAACATACAAATAATTCTTGCTGCTTCCAATGAAGATCTAACCCTGTTTAGCAGCAATGGCTGACAAAATTAATGAACTTGTTACTCCAGCTTATGTCAGTGCTGCTAATGCTGCACCTTCCAGTTCATCCCTCGAACAACAAGTGGCTGAATTGACCAAAAAAGTATCTGAACTCTCTACAAGTCTTCATGCTTCACGGAGATATAATCGATCAAATCAGGGCCCACGTAATAAATTTCGTGCCCGAAGCAGGAGTCAATCTCGTCATAATACTCTCGAACGCAGTACAAAGAACCCACAAGTGGCATATGTTTTTATCATATGAATTTTGGCTCTCAAGCTCGCAAGTGTGCCCCTCCGTGCACTTTTGTACAAGCGGGAAACTAAATGGGCGGTCTTCTGCTGGCCAACAGAATGTCCGCCACATCGACAGAATAGTACTGGCTGATCGTTCAACTCAGTTATGTTTTCTAGTAGATACTGGAGCTGACATATCAGTGCTCCCGAGAACTAAAAACAATGCTCACCAACTTAATAAACTTGTACTGTATGCAGCCAATGGTACCCAAATTGCAACCTACGGCACCAAACTATTGACACTTGATTTAAACTTGCGCCGGACTTTTCAACTGGCCTTTTATTATTGCGGATGTAACTCAAGCAATTATTGGTGTCGACTTCTTGACATATTTCCACCTTCTAGTGGATGTCAAGAATAATTGCTTAATTGATGCTACAACTCAGCTGACGTCACAGGGCCAAGCTTCTCACGTATCAAACGTACCTACCAACATAAGTGTTTTATCGGGCAGCACACGGTTTCATCGGTTATTAGCAGAATTCCCTGACATTTTAAACCCATCCAAATCAGGGCAGTATACTCATCAGCCAGAAGTGTATCATCACATTGAAACACATGGCCCACCTGTATTTTCCAAGCCTCGTCGTCTTTCTCCAGAGATGCTAAAAGCAGCTCGCAAAGAATTTGAATTCATGCTAGCACAGGGAACCATTCGCCCATCTAAAAGTCCATGGGCCAGTCCACTTCACATGGTTAAAAAGTCTAATGGTGACTGGCGGCCTTGTGGAGATTATCGTCGACTTAATGCCGTCACAGTCCCTGACAGATATCCAGTCCCACATATCCAAGACTGTACCCATCTTTTTCATGGAACAAACATATTTTCTACCCTCGATCTTGCCAGAGCATATCATCAGATCCCAGTGCATGCTGAAGATGTGCCTAAGACCGCAGTAACTACACCATTTGGTCTCTTTGAGTACTTATATATGCCATTTGGCCTTCGCAATGCTGGCCAAACATTTCAGCGTTTCATACACCAAGTACTGTCTGGTCTCGATTTCTGCGTCCCATATTTTGATGATATCCTGGTTGCATCTACAGATGCGGAAGAACATTTTCAACATCTGCGTCAGATTTTCAATCGCCTTAAAGATCATGGATTAAAACTAAATCCATCCAAATGTGTACTTGGTCAACCCTCAGTTTCCTTTCTTGGATGTCTTATCACCCAGAATGGAGTCAAACCTTTACCGGAAAGAGTCAAAGCAATTAACGACCTACCTCAGCCCAAAACCATCTCTGAACTGAAGCGTTTTCTAGCAATGTTAAATTTCTACCGACGCTTTCTGCCAAATGCCGCAAAAACACAAGCCTGCCTACATGAGTTTCTGAAGAATAGCAAAAAAAAAAAAAAAGGACCAACGAGCTGTCCCTTGGACTGAATCTGCATCTGCAGCATTCGTGCAATGCAAACACGATCTGGCAAATGCAGCCACACTTTCTTATCACTCACCTAGTGATCAGCTCTCTATAATGGTAGATGCATCTGACACGGCCATAGGAGCAGTGCTTCAAGCCCATACCACTAAAGGACTTTCCCCAATGGCATTCTTTTCCAGAAAACTTCACTACTGCAGAAAGGAAATACAGCACATATGACAGAGAGCTACTTGCTGTGTACTGTGCTGTTAAATACTTTCGGCACAATCTTGGAAGGACACGACTTCAGTTTCATTTTCACATTTTCACCGATCATCGACCATTAACCTTCGCTTTTAGAAAAAACTCTGACTCATGTTCTCCTCGTCAGCTTCGACACATCTGGATTTTCATTCGCCCAGTTTCAGTACAGATATCAGATATGTCTCTGGTACTGATAATTGTGTTCGCTGATGCCTTTGTCTCGGGTAAACAATATCAACCTCACTACCCCAGATTTATCTGAAATTGCAAAAGCTCAATTGCATGATGAGGAACTCAAGAACCTAATCTCAAATCCACAAACCTCCCTTCAGTTACAACCGCTGCACATTGATCCAACGCTTAAAATTTACTGTGACATAGAGAACAATAGAATACGTCCCTATATTCCTGTCAATTTTAGACGTGAAGTGTTTAATGCCTTGCACAATTTGGCACATCCTGGAATCCGTGCCACCAAAAAGCTGATCGCAGACAGATTTGTCTGGCCAGCAATGAATCAAGACATCACAGAATGGACTCGTTCATGTATTAGATGTCAACGGTGTAAAGTATCCCGTCACACTCACAGCCCCATTCAACAATTTAACCTTCCAGCAAGACGCTTTGATCATGTGCACTTAGACTTGGTTGGCCCATTGCCTCCTTCAAATGGTTAAACTTACCTCCTCACTTGTATTGATCGGTACACAAGATGGACTGAAGCCATTCCTATTGAAAATATATCCGCTGAAACTGTAGCTCGAGCATTCATCTCCCAGTGGCTTTTAAGATTTGGCATGCCTACCACCATCACTACTGACCAAGGCCGACAATTTCAATGTCACTTGTTCGCATCCCTCACCTCTCTTCTTGGCATTCGCCATATTCGCACAACACCATACCATCCATCTGGAAATGGGATGGTGGAACGCTTTCACCGATCTCTCAAACAAGGTCTGAAGTGCCACAGTAGCACACACTGGACAGAAACCTTACCCCTAGTCTTGCTTGGTCTTCGCACAGCATTCAAAGAAGACATTGGTAGCACTTGTGCTGAAATGTTATATGGTGCAACCCTCCGTCTGCCAGGTGAATTCTTTCACCCAGAATCTACTCCAGTTATCGACCCTCCAACATTCCTTCAACGTTTACGTGAGACCATGAGCAATATCTCGCCAACCCCAGCATCTTCGCATAACCAGCCAAGCTATTTTGTACATCCTGCGCTTGAGACATCTTCGCTCGTATTCGTGCGCAACGATGCAATTAACTCTTTGGCATCGAAATCGCCCGTAGCGCCCGTTCATTCAGGCAACGGCAAACCGCCCCAACGCCTCGTTTATTTTCTACTTAGTTCTTTCCCCTCCACGTTAGTGTATGGCTCATTGGTTTCGCGAGTTGTTAAAAGACATGTCAATCATTCTTTTGAAGCAAATAAAGGAGAAATACGGAAAGCTATTGACGTTCGCAGGTGCAATCCGGCCCTAAGGTGAAACTGCACACAACGGAAACTGCACACAACGGAAACTGCACACAATGGATGAAACCGCAAAAAGGGGAAAGGAAAACTATTCCAAGACGAATTCGTAAACACGGGCGTTTTCGATGTTTGTTGAAAACAGATTTGGTAGTCTCTCGATGCGAAAGAGTTAAGCCAACTTTAACACCTTCTAATGATGGTCCATTCAAAGTTGTCAAACGAACACCGAAATATTTCACCATCATCTGCAATGGCAAACAATCAGTGATTGGAATCGATCGTCTCAAACCAGCATTTCTAATGCAAGATCCAACAACTTCCTCATCAACATCACTCCCGGAAGAAAGCTTACATCCCGTTAAAGAGCAACCTAAAACTACCAGATCTGGAAGAAAGGTTAAATTTAACCCAAAGTACTTATAACGTACCGATGGTATTTGGGGGGGAGTACTGTGGCGTTCCGACAGATACTTCAACTTCTATTCATGAGATAGCGCCACGTGTAAAATCCAGTTCTTAATCGGAGCAGCAAAGCGACATCTTTACTCACTCAGACTTCTCGTCGGACAAATGTACGCGACGCTAGCACGAACTGTGTTCCGAGCTCTGTGTTGATCTCTGCAATGTAATTTAAATTGTAATTTAGTATTTAATATATTTTTTTGTTATAGGAGATTGTCTACCCTTATTTTCTTTAATTATATCATGCATTAAGCACACACGACCACCAAAATAATCTCAAATAGCTTAGGGACTTATATCTGCTCAAGGAGCTAAATTAGAAGATAAAACTATAGAAGAAAACAGCATAGAAAAACCAGATTAAAATTATAAAGAAATATCCTTGATCTTCACTGAATGGGTAACAATAAATTTGAAAAAGCTAAAGGTTTCTTCGAGAAATTTAAAAATGCACAATCTGTAGGGAAGGTATAATCGAATATTTTCCTAGTGTAGACTGAATTTTAATTTAAAATTCTAGATATGATTTTACACGTTCGAGAACACATTAGTAAATAATTAAGACGTTACTACCTCCTCTAGATTTTCTGCAAGATTAGTATTTCGCAGATGTTTCAAATTTTCACAGATTAAAACATAACTGTTGCAGCTAAATGGGTGGAGACTTTATCTCTATGTTCTCTCCTCGATAATGGACTTTTAGTGTTTTCATATCAAATTTTTTGTATTGACTCAAGACTGTATTTCTGTAATATTTCAGAACATTCTGAACTTTTTCAATGATTAGAATATTTTTACTTTCATTTTTTCGAAACTTATTCGATTCCAGTGAATTCATTCAGAACTGAGAAAATAGATGGCGGCACTGGCTTAAGAGACTTTCGAATTTACAAATACTGGCTTTGTCTCCTTTTTATTCTCGCCTTCTCATGAAAGGTACAATGGAATCGTACTTCTTATAATTACCGTGAGAAGCCTTAAGTTGTTAAGCCGATAGTTTGAACTTCTGGTAAAAACTCTGTGTAGTTCTAAGCCTGAAGCGAAATGAAAACTCCAAATCTCATCTAACTCACAGCGGAGCGTGAAATGTACGCATGCGCAGTGGTTACTTTCTTCCTCGACATCTTGTATGTCCTAGGAAAAGTATCATATGTAGAGAAGATATATCTGAAATTTTCGATCGTCGCTGTGTATATTAATGAATACTCATCTTGTGTGTTATTAGGTAAGTAATTAAATATTCAGTAAGTTTAATGTACCAAAAATGCAATTATACTAAACACTTCAAATGAAATTCTTAATAGACGGAGAGAATGAGATATATTAAAAATTTCATCGTGGGTTTTTTTTTTTTTTTTTTTTTTTTTTAAGTATACGTGCTTATTTTAACTTAATATGCTGCATTTAATACATGTAAGACACTCAGCAAATGAGTTTTTTCTTTCCTTGCTGAGTAGCAAATAAATTACTTGCCATGTGTTGCTAATGCAAATTAAGGACAAAAAATTTAAAATTTAAAATTACAAATTAAAAAAAAAATTTTTTTAGACATTTAGCTTTCTTTTTGCATGTACATAACATTACATGTTTTTTTAAACCTTAAACTACTAATTTTAATAAAGTTAAAAATTTAATTTATAAAATTTGCACCTACATTTGTAAATATTGAGCTTTTCCTCTATAAATTTGTATGTGTCTAAACCTGTGTATGGAGTTTTTGATGCTTATGTACATTTAATTAAAAAGAATTCTCTCATATACAGAGAAAAACAAGAAAAATCTAACTTTGTGTTTAAATATTAAAAATAATAATAATAATAATAATAATTACAAATGCTGATTTTAAGTTCATGTGCAGTTTTATCAAAAATAAAGCACTAAAACATGTACCAGAAATGTGAAATAGCAATTTAGTTAATTCCTAAAAGAAAGAAACCTTAGTGTATTTAAAACATGCTCGTCAGCAAAGCATAAATATGGTAAATAATCAGTTTAAAGCTTTTTGACTGTAAAACTAGCCAGATTAATGATAAATCCACCCAAATTTCGTTAACATTTTTATCACACAGATAATGCAAAGAATATATAAGATACCGGCACAGCTTTAGTATTAGTCCTTTTTGGCGAGAAATTTGTTTGGCGACATTTTGGAGCGATAAATGAAAAATTATGATAACCTTGGTAACCCTAAATACTGAGCTTCCGACATGCCGCCATTTCTGTCCACGTAACTTTAACGAATTTGATAGGTATCAGAGCTTTGATGGCAGGAGGGATAAATTGTGTGTTTTCCTTAAAGTTACTTTTGTGTTAGGAAAGCACAACATGTAAAATATTTTTTAAAGAGCCAAATTTTTGATAGTTAAAACTGGTGCTTTTAATATTACATCACATGAGTCTTGACATTGAACTCTGCATATTATTATAAACTCCACCCCCCCCAAGGGAAAAAAAAATACATTTTCAGTAGCATGAGGTAAACTCTTGGTGTTTCCTTTGCTAAGGAGATCAAAATTACTGTGGTCTAAAAATACTTATTTACCTCATATTAGAACTATAGGGATGTGTAATTGCATGAATTCATAGGTTCAAATCAGGACCAAAATCAGGTTTCATTATTGCTTTTATAACATTTTCATAATTTGTCTGACTATAAAAAATATAATGTTGCTTAGATTATGGAATATATTGCTTATAATTTAGAGTTCTCAAATTTTGTAAATCTTACAACCTAACAGCTGTATATGAATAACCTTCACTGAGTATTATTACTTTTATTAATAGTATGTTGACATAACAGTCGACTTTTTATTTTAAATTTTATGCAAATTTTCTATATTACTTAAACATTTTATCTCACAGGAATCTGATTTTTTTTGTAATAAAAACTCTATAATAAAAGTAAGAGTACAATTTATATATAAAAATTTGACTATATGGCAAGCACTTAGATACTACACTTAGATACATAAAAAATTTTTTAGCAGTTTGCCAGGTTACTTACTTAATAATAATTGAAAAAAAATAGTCCTTATGGAATGATAATATTTACCAAATGATAGGTCTAATTAAATGCTCTGGGTAGGGTGAGCCATACTGACAGATTCAAATTTTCAATGTATTGAAAGCAAACATTAAAACTTTTTAATGTTTAGATTTTTTTAACAGTATATGTTTATATGAATAAACAGTTATCAGTTTTATGAATACATTTTGTTAATCAATGCCATCTTGATTATGCCCACCACTTGCTGGTACATGCTAAAAAATCAATCCTTTGATCATCATTGACCTCTTAAAATTTCATCAGCCTCCCAGGGTGTCCATGGTGACCCCAATAGGAACCCATAGTTTAAATCTAGTAAGATGACTTGTAAACATGATAATGTTGGGACTTTGCTTATTGTTTAGATAACATTGAGCAATCCTGATCCCCCAGCAAGGTCAGTGCCGGAGCCAAGTAGCAGAATTTTTTTAATTGAGAAGATGTACTAGGTATCAGAATTTGCAGATGGTAAAATTTTTAGAATTTACAGAGCTACCAGGCAGTTAAATTCAGGACCCGCAGAGATTGCACCATACAGCAAAATGCACTGTGCCCAACAACCACTCAGAACCTGATTTCTATTTTATTTCTGTTACTTTATACTCCACTAGTTAATTTTTTTTACTGTTAAGAAGGATTCCAATAGGTACAGTTTTATTGTATATATGTGATATGTAAAGCCATAAATGCATTAGTTTATTATAAAAATCTTATTTGTGGTGCTGTAATTTCTGACTGTATATAATTTATACAGAATGAAAGTTAAAGTTCATATCAAGACAATTTTTAAAAATGTAAGAAGCCAGGGAAGGGCCATTAGAAATGATAATCAAAATGAATGAAATACCATACAAAGTTTTAGTGACCTTGCTGTTTGTGAAAGCCCAGGTTTTTTTTTTCCCTTCACATCACCAATTTCCTGGAAGTTGTTTACCCATGCAACACTTGATTGCCAGCCGGGAACTTGACTACGTGGTGCAATATTAAAATTGGTCTGAAATGCATGTTGCAGGGCAATGATTGAGCCACTGTTAGAAAAGAATGGCTTGACAATGAATGCATGCTTCACTTTCATCTGCTCCATGATACCAACTAAAACCAAATAGATTAAAATGTTGTGCCCCAACCTCCTCGAAGCAGTTGTCGTTTCAGGGCTCCAAATTCAAGTAAGCAAGTTGCTCTGCCCACCTTGTATATATACAATATTTAATATTAATTTAATTATTATCTTCTAGAAACTTATTGCAATATTAGTGTAACATAAATAAATATATATACAATGAAGAGCCATTACATTATGACCACCCTCCATATATAACAGTGGGCTCGCCCAGGAAAAAAACCAATATGGGCATGCAACTGATGTTAGAGTATATAAAAAGGCTATACATTGTCTTTCCAAATATAGCACAATTAGCGACATAATGGGAAAAGAGCTGATTTATCGGACTTCGATAAAGGTCAAATCGTTATCGTTTGGCGACTAAGACAGCTGGTGACAGCTTTTACTGCATTTAATGAAGAGATGAACGCAAGCTTATATTCTTACAAGCAGGCTGGCTACAGGGGCATTTTTCTCAAGGTTTTCTCCTAAGTAATGTAAATATAAACTAGTTCAAGAGTCCTGCACAAAGGCATTCCTCTCCTTAGGCAAGTAGTTTATCTCAATTTAATTCACAAACTTCATCAAGATCTCTATGGATAATTTAATTACAACAAAGCATTCATTAAGATTATCCAAGGGAAGACCTAAAAAAGAAATGCTTATCTCTATGTTACGGAAGAGTTAAATTATTGTTATTTCAAAGCTCATAGCCATTGGTGGACCCCAAAAATCAGTATTTAAATAGTAAATTTTTATAAGAGATACTGACAGAAGCCAGGTGAGCACCTTTATATTATAGCACAGGTTATTGAGGAATGATTGAACCTAGATAGCTGCTAAGTTTGAAGGATTACATTGCAGTGGGAAGGGGTTCAGTTCCCCTATAAAACTTCTCAAGATGAGTTTCTGCTCGTGGTGTATTTTGAGTGCCCTCTTGCAAACATCCATGCCTTCTGCAGGATTCAAACTCAGGCCTATTAGGTCGTTGGTGTCACCAACTATTATACCCAGGGGTGTTTGTGGGACCCCAAAAAATCCCTTGAAACTTTTATGGACTTACTACCGACATTTTGTAGTTTCGAGAAGGGGGGGGGGAGAGAAATGAAAAATTACAATTATGAAGTATTGAATGACTTAATTATAAAAGTTCAATGAATAACTTTTTTTGCAAAATTAATAACCATAAATTTTCAAACATATAAACTACTACATTTTATGTAAATATTTTAAATTACCTGAATTAATTCTTTAAAAAAAATTATCTAATTTCTGCTGCTTTTTTTTTTTTATTTTCTGATGTTTGTGGTCTTGTCTTTCTTCTGTGGTAAACTTCATAATTGCAGGAAGGTTGACTTTTATTTTCCTCATTTACAGCTGAAGAAATTTCCTCGAGAACTGCACATGTAGAGGTAGAAGCAGTTTGCTTTTCTGCTAATGTAGAAGGTTTTTGATGAAAATGATGAACCACAACTTCATTTTGATTGTTGTCATAAAACTGCACCAATATTGCCAGTATACTTTCTTGAGCATTGCTAGTACTTTCATCCAAATTTAGAGAAAATGGAGTCTCCTTTAAAGTTTTAATGATATATTTCCTTAATAGTTTTTGCGAGCCCATTTTTCATCTTATAACATGCAGTAGTCCTGGACATTTCCAACAAGTTTAGTGCCGTCTGATCGCGGCTCAACTGTTTGCAGAGTTCAATTAAATTGGGAGCTACATTGAAAGAAAGAGAATTCTCGGCGATAAACGAAGTTATTAATACCTCTTGGCGTGCTTTTCTCGTCACTATATCCAATGGCCGAGCATCAGTCTCGAGTAAGCCATCAGTATTTTTTGAATTAGCATAATTACTTAAAGTCATTGAATGTCTAAATGCACTTTGAATATTTGGTACTTACGTATTATCGCAACCAGGTTGGCGCTATTTGTAAGTTTGAGTAAAAAAGTATGAATAGAAAGAAAATGTACATTTATTAATTACAGATTATTTTTAATACAGTTTTTTATATTATTTTGTTTTAAAAATATAAATAGCAATTAAACCCTTCCGGTTTCGAATTTGAATAAGTT